AATAATCATACATTCTCTTTGTTCTCAATAACAATCATAAAGAACAAGGTGATGAGTCCCTGAAAGGGGAGTGAGTGCAGTAGGTGACCGTCAGCTTGAGAGATTCGGTAACAGCTGGGAACATGTGAGTCCTCTGCCTGCCAGGATTTCTAGAATTCAGAGAGCCCGCATTGGGAGGGGCGTAGGAGGGTTGTCGAGGCAGAATGAGCCTGACTGGCTAGTGCTTTCCCACCACTTAAGCCTACAATGTGCTGTTCTTGACTCTAACTCACTCAGTCCTTACCGTGACCTCCTGACAGAGGGTCACTATTCAGCCGCACTGGACAGATGGGAGACTGGGACCTGGAGAAGGTAAGCACCTTCTCTTCTCTTGCACCCCAGCATCCAGCTGTGGGGCCTGGGCCGGTGACCACCGCAGTGTAGCAGCAGGAGGGACACAGCTGCGGCCAGGGAGTGCAAGGGAAATGCTGAAGTGCCAGGGTGTCTCATTCTTTTCCTGAAGAAAAGCTCCTTTTTGTTTCCCAGAGGTCCTCCCAGTGGGAAAGCAAGGTCGCAGCCATGGACTTAGAAATCCACCACTTTCAGGGGCGCCTGGGTGGCTCAGTCAGTTAAGCATCTGACTCTTGATATCAGGTCAGGTCATGATCTCAGGATCGAGAGATTAAGCCTCCTGTTGGGCTTAAGCAGGCTGGAGCCTGCTTAAGATTCTCTCTCCCTCTCTCTCTGCTCCTTCCCTGCTTGCGTGCTCTCTCTCTCTCTCTCACTTAAAAAAGAAAGAAAGGAAAGAAAGGGAGGGAGGAAGGGAAGGAGGAAGGGAGGAAGGAGGAAAAGAAAGAAAGGAAAGAAAGGAAGGAAGGGAGAGAGGGAGGGAGGGAGGAAGAAAAGAAAAGAAAGAGAAGAAAAAAGAAAAGAAATCCATCACTTCCAGCTTGAAATGAAGGCTCTGCTAATACCTACCGAGCATTTCCTCCATGAGACAGACACGTTTCAAATGCGCTCACAGTCATCAGTTGATTCTCCTTCCCCTTTATACCGAGAGTTCCCGGAGGCCAGGGACCTCATGCACTTGGCTGGTTGACTTGGTATCATCAGTGTCTAGAGCTGTGTCCTGCACATCGCTGATTATTATATACCGATGATGTGGCCCCATTTTGTCAGGAAGGAAACTGGGACTCAGAGAAGTTAAGGAAAGCACTCAAGATCCCACAGCGAATAAATATCGGAGCTAGGTTCTGAAATTGGATTCTGACCCCAGGAACCGTGGCTCACACTCACCCCCTTGGAGTGTCCTGTTTCAAGGCATAGTGTGTCACAAGAGACACACCTGTGGCCTTGTGGGAACAGCCGTGGCCAACCATCCCAGTGAGCTGGGGTCTAGGGGCAGGGGAGGGGGCAGCTGGGCCACAGGGGGACTGAGGACACGGTGAAGCCAAGAAATAGAGTCACTGACAGGAGACAGCACGGACTGGTGGTCAAGGGCCAGACGTCCAAATCTGGCTCTACTTGCCGACCATGTGACCATAGGCAGATTAATCACCCCAAGCCTCAGCTGCTCTTTTGTACATGGAGGCAGTATCTCGTGGAGTTGTTATAAAGATTAAATGAATACATACAGACTACTTAGTACAGCAGCTAGCCCATGACAGAGATGTGTGTGGTGCGAGGCTAATAAATGGCATCAAACTAGGTAAATATCCTTGCATGAGGACCCAGCCACTTTTGCATTCTGTGTCACATAGAGAATACGTGCAAATCCATAGCAAGCGACCACCATTAACCAAATGTCCTGTAGCAACCTTTGCTGCATAAAAATTTACCCCAAAATGTAATGACTTAAAACAACCACTATCTTTTTGCTCACAGTTCTGTGGGTTAGTGACTTAGGCTGTGATCAGTGGGGCCATTCTTCTGCTGGTCTCACTAATGGGGCTGCAGCCAGCTAGGCCATCAGCTGGGGGTTGGCTGCTTGAGGGTAGGCTTTCAAAACCATAGCACTATTGACATTTGGGACCAGAGAGTACTTTGTTTTGGGTTCTGTCATGTGTACTATAAGATGTTTAGCAACATCCTTAGCCTCTACCCACTAGATTCCATCAGCCCCCTCCCCCCCATCATATACAATTAGGACAACTAAAAATATCTCCAGACATTGGCCAGTGTTCTCTGGGGGACAGAACTGCCCTCTGGCTGAGGACCACTGGTCTAGAGGAACCAGCACGAAGACTTGTCTTTGTTGCTTGTGGTCTCCTCTTCCAGTAGCCCAGACTTCTGACAGTAGATGGGGTGGGGGGTGGGGGTGGCCCCAGCAGCAAGAGAGAGCATGCCTCAGTGCTCATGTGCTCTTCGAGCCTTCTCTGGTGTCACATTGGCTGATGTTCCATGGGCCAAAGCATATCAAATGGTCAAGCCCAGAGCCGAGCTGAGCAGGGACTGCACAAGGGTATGGGGACAGAGGCATACTGGCCTGGGACCATCACTGTAACTGACCACAGGAATTTGTCCACCACGACAGTGATGAGTGTTGTGGGTGCGAACATGGCACCAGGGGAGGGGCCTGTGACCTTGGGCAGGTCTCTTTCTCTCTGTGACCTCATCTGCACAATGAGGGAGGGACTTTTTCCTGAGTGGTCCCTAGCCTCAGTGGCTCAGATGTGCTAAGAGTTGATTTCTTACAGTCAGTGCAGTCACATCAGAGGGGCCTGGGGCCCTGCTGTGAGGGGAACTCTCCTTGGTCCTAGGGCAACCCAAACTGGCCCTTCCAAATGGCTTTCCCCAGGCTAGAAAGTCTTGGATATTAAAATACAAACAGGAGAAAATAGTTTACAATCCTACAACATCTTGTGGTTCTCAAAAAACTTCTCCATGCTCCATTAGGTAAGATAATGTCCAGATTTTCAGTGTCTTGCCATAATAAAGTCTTAGTTAACTGTGCAGGGCAGGTGATCCTGAACTGGAGGGAAGGGACCCTGTCATTCAGGAGCCTTGGCGAGGAGATGCTCCCCTCTTGATACAGAGCTTCCATGTTACCCTAGGCAATGACATCCTACTGGCAGAGGGAAGGAAAGGCAAAGAATCACACGGGAAGCAATCATGAGCCAGACCCGGGAATGGCCACCTCCCCCTGCCCATGATCCATGGACCAGAACTCAGTGGCCATGGGGAGGGGCAAGAGCCGGAAGTGAAGTTAGCTTTGAGCCCAGGAGGAAAGGCAAACAGACTTTGTGAACTCAGAGTCGTTTCTGCACAAAAACACACTTCCTCATGTCTCTGCAAGGTCCCTGGTAGGAAGGGATGTATCTGTGTGCTCCCTGCTGGGGCCTCAGCATGCAGAGACAGTAGGGACCTGGGCTCACCTTTGAGTCCAAAGTCAAAGCTAGAGCTTCTTTATTTTGCCGTTTCACCTGATAGATAATGTATGATATGACACAATATATTACAATACAATATATATTGGCAGGCCCTGTGGGATATCTTCCAATTTCTATGACCTGGTTTCTGATAGGCCCACCCCACTTCTGCTGTACTCTGAGTCAGGACTTGGGTTGACTCGGAGGAGTGCAGGACAGCTAGAAAAGGGAATCCAGCCCTCCCCTACTCAAGCTCAAGGTATCAGCAGTGTCTTTGCCCCCTCCTTCTGCCCCCTCGTCCTTTGAAGTTGGCCTTAAGTTCTACAGAGCGCATCTCTTCAGTACGCCCCACCCCCACTGCCACCACTGCTCCTCCAGGTCACACCACCATGACCAATTCCGTCCACCCTCCTCCCAGTCTCGGACACGAGCCCAGCCCTGGTGCTGAGTATTAGCATTGTGAGTTTGAGCAACTGGCTTCAAGCCTGTTTCTCCATCCATAAAATGAGGATGAGCATAATATCCAAAAGACGTGGTAAAAATTGTGTGAGCCAAAAATTCAGGTAAAATGCCCCCTGGAAACTGCAAAGCACCACACAAAGCCCCCTGCTCCCACGGCTCCCCATCTGGGGAGGGGACCCCTGTCCACATCCCCAGGCCTCCTGCTGCCAGCAGGGAGTGTCTACCCCGGCAGTCCCTATCTTCCACAGTCCGGATCCAACTCAGTTTCGCATTTTCCCTTTATGGGTCCAGCCAGAGAGAAGACTCGCTCTCTCTCATGCGTGGTCCTTGTGTCCCCTTCTTCAGAATTTGTCTCCATGCCTTTGTTTGAGTTCATTCCTCCTCCTACATGCCTCTTGGGTTTTTACGTGCATCATCTCTCCCTGTGTTGCAAAGTGGAGCAGGATACCAACTCTTTCATCCAGGAGCCTCCACCCCTTCTGAATTCTTGTCATTCCCCCTTGGAAACACGGTCTTGCTCCTACGTAATGCCACAAGTTAAGTTACAGCACATCGGCCTGGGTGCTCAGGGTGGGCACGCAGAACAAGACCCGGCCAAACATGGTCCTGGCCCTTGAGGGGCATTCTGACTGCCTGGGGGGACAACCACAAATACAGTCAAGTACCCAGCCACAGAGAAAGGCCTGGAGACTGAGTGCTAAGGAGAGGAAGCAGGTCTGGATTCTGCAGAGAGGCTTCCCAGTGGAGGACAAGTGAACCAGACCTGGCCCCGAAAGGTGCCAGGGATACCAGCATGTGGAAAGGGAGAGGAAGGGCCTGCAGCGGGGAGGCAGGAGGTCCAATGCTGCATGTGGTTCAGGGATGTGGTTCAGATGCCGTAAGGGTGGCATTCCTGCTGGCACATTTTTGCCTCCCCAAGCCATTCCCAGCCACACGACACTGTTTCTGCTAGCCTGTGATGAATGTCAGTGTTGCCCATGATGAGCGTCACAGGGCCACTGAGCATCAGGGGCACCAGGCTGGGGGTGCTGTGTGCCTGGAAGAGCCTCCCCCACTGTCTCTCCAGAATGCTCATGGTGTATATTCAGAATATCTATTAAATGAGTGATGGCAGCCTCTGAGAGAACCCCTGGGCCTGGTCTCAACTGTCGGAGCCCTTGTGACCTGAGGCAAGGCACTTCTCCCCTCCAGGCTGCAGTGTCCCCACCTGTCAAGTAAGTTGACAACAAAGGCCCAAGGGACCCCTATGGTGAAGAGATGAAGCCCATGAGCTGCAGCGTCAGGACACCGGGGTGCGAATCTCCAGCTTCCTGAGTGGTTTCAGGTAAGTAAATTCATGTCTCTAAGCCTCTGTATTCTCCTGCATAAAAGGGAACAACAATACTGCAAAACCTAACCAGAACACCGTAAGTGGCATCCCAAGAACTCAATTGCACAAAACTTGGAGTCTCATTATGGTGAGGATAAAGAGAAGATGCGGAGATTGGAGCTTATTGTGTTGTGTCTGAATTCAGTTATGATGAGGTGTTACAGTAGGATTCTTGTGGATTCAATGTGTTTATAGACATACACACATATAAATACTCTCTCTCTATATATAAATATGTTAATATGTGTAAAATGCTAGCACGGTAAGTGTGCAATGGAAGTGACTAATTGGTGGTAGTAAACCAAGAGCTCCCTGGCTGGGCTGAAGTGTGGGCTCACCGAGGACCGCTCTGTGGGCTGGCGGGGACATGTTAGGGAAGGACTCTGGCAGGGCTGAGCCCACACCGTCTGAGGCCTGGAATCCTGCCAGCCTGACACCACAGCTGCTTCTAGGCCGCTTCTGATCGGCCCAAGGTTGGATCTAGAAATCCCAAGGAGGGGAGAAACTGACTTGGCCTTCACCTGTGAGTGAGCAAAAAAAAGAACTATTTTTCAAGTTCCCAAGACGGTAGCAGGAAGACAGTCAGAGACCACCCTCCTCCTTTTCTGTAGAAATGCTCAGAATCATGTGCATGATTAATATCCCAAACACTTATTCCCCTGTTGGCCTTTATTACAGGAGAGAAGTTAAGCTGCTTTTTGCCCGAAGGGGGAAGGCAGTGTCTGAATAAACCAGCTCCTGGGGCACCTGGGTGGCTCAGTCTGTTAAGCATCTGCCTTCAGCTCAGGTGGTGATCTCAGGGTCCTGGGATCGAGCTCGGCATCGGGCTCCCTGCTCAGCGGGGAGTCTGCTTCTTTCTCTCTCCCTCTCTCTCTAAGCCTTCCCCCATTCGTGCAAGCTCTCTCTCTCAAATAAATAAGTAAAATCTTAAAAAAAAAAAAAAAGTCAGCTCCTACCACTCCAGCCCAGGTGAGAACCCCTTGGCACTGGCCCTCTCTCTCCTCCCCAGGCGGGGCCTGCAGAAGGCTTGCTGGGGCAGGGCTGCGAGCCTCCCCACTCCTCACCCCTCCCGGTGACCAGAAGCATTAGGCCATCCACAGATGCTCCTACACCAGGGAGTTCAGTCAGCAAACTAGGTCCCACGTGCATCCCACACGAGACCTAGAAAGGGCTTCCTGCTATGATCTGGGCCCACCTCCATCGCATATCTCATACGCACAGGTGTCAGAGTGGGAGGGGAGGTCAGAGAGCCCCCCTTTTACAGATAAAGAACTGAAGCCTGGGGAGGCGTTAGCCATGCTTCCCTGGCTAATTCTTCTCTGTCCTCTTTGTGCTTCCTTCTCACCTCCCAATCTCTAAATGTTGGCATGCCCCAGAGCTCAGCGTGTGGACCTCCCACACTGTCTCGGGGACCTCATCCAGGCCTGTGGCTTTATGTACCATACATATGTACCTGGGGACCACTCTCAACTGTGGATCTGCAGCCCAGACTCTCTGCAGAACTCCAGACTCACATCCAACTGCCCACTCGGCGCCCCCTCTGGGGTGTCTCATAGGCATCACTCTTCGCGTGGGTCCAAACTGAGTTCCTGATCTTTCCTCCTCCCACACTCTGCTCCATGTGAGTTCATGGCAGTTCCATAATTGCTCAAGCCAATAACCTTGGAGTCACTCTTGGCTTCTAGTTCTAACAGACTCATGCCCAAACCTCAGCAGACCCACATACATGGGGATTCTGGCCACCTCTTCCCTTCTCCACCCCCGCCAGCCTGCTCTGAGCCACCAAGGGCCCTTGTTTGGTTTGCTATAGTCTCCTTCGTGGTCTTTCTACTTCCACCCTGCACCCTGCAGTCTGGTACGAACTAACTCAGCAGCCAGGCTATCCTGGGAAGATAAAAGTCAGCTGAGGTCCCTCCTCAGCTCAAACCCCTCCAGTGGCCCCCCATCCCATCCGTAGGTGGCCCGTGTTACCTCTCCATCTGAGGTCCTAGCCCTCCCTCCCTCGCTGTTCACTCCACCCCAGCCACAGTGGCCCCCAATACACCAAGTGCACTCCCACCTTGAGGCCTTGGAATTTGCAACTTTGCCTGGGACACTCCCTCTCCAACCCCAGGTGTCTGCTTGCCGGATCCCCAACCTCCTGGGAAAGGCTTCACTCCCCATCCTTATGCAAACGCCGTCTTTTCAGTGAGGTCTTCCCTAACCTCCTTCATTTAAATTGCACCCCCCTCCCATTTTCTGTCACCCCTTTTTACTTTATTTTTCTCCATGACACTCCCCACCAAACATACTATATACTTTATTTATTTTGTTTATTATTTTTCTCCCCTAACTGGAATGTAAGCTCCCCAAAGATAGAGGTTTTTTATCAGACACACAGTAAGTGCTCAATAAATACTTGTTAAATGCACGAAAGAACAGCAACCAGTGGTTCTGGTGTGTCTGTGTCAGTTGCTTCCCTGAGTATCATTGCACTTGGCCGATGACTGGAAGAGCAAGAAAACACCTTAGATCAAGTTCAGTTCCTCCTTCAGCTGAGAGACGCTGAGGCCTAGTGAGGGAGAAGATATCCCGAATAATCACGGCACACTGACTTTAGAGGAGCTGGGACTGGATCCCCCCATCTCCCAAGCAGAGCCCCGCTCTGGTCTCCCTGCCGCCCATGGCTAGAGGTCACTCCATCCTGACAGCAATTTCCAACCTCCTGAGCTGAAAATAAGAATAAGGAACTGCAGAAAACAGAGGGTATGAGAGGGGGTATTTTTAGCTTTGTGGGTTTCTAAGTACATACATATATAGAAAAGTCTGTAAGTCTGGCTATATATAGGTATTAAATCAGGAAGCAAGTTGAGTGGTGGGTCAGCTTTTCTGGGGGCGGCTGTGAGCCTGTTGTGACATGAACAGTTTCAAACCAGAGTGGCCGATTCCAAGGAAACTGGTCTGCTGAGTCAGCTGGAAGCTGCACACCTCACATGAGGAGTTCAGAAAGAGTCTGAGGAGTTACATCCTCCTTTTTCTTCTCAATCAGCCAGAAACACCAGTGAAATTCCAAGGCCCACCCAACCCAGTAACTGGCCAAGGCTTTTAGAGTCAAAATCTCCCCTGTGTAAACAGGGATTCTGAAGAGGGTCACTGAGCAGAAACCTAGAGCCCCTATACCCAGTTGACCAGAGACACCTCCTTGGGCTCTGGTCCCTTTGGCCACCAGGAATTTTCCCAGACCTCAGACCAGGCTTAAAAGCTGAGGCCTGGGTCAGCATGGAGCACTTCCTATTAACCAGACACTGTTCACCACCTATGATCTCATTTCATACAGCTTACCTGGGAAGTACTTGTCTCCATTTTACAAATGGAGAAACTGAGGCAGGGTGGGTAAGTAATGTGCCCAGGTCTCAGCTTAAGGGGCAGATCCAAGCAATCTAGCCCCACCGCACCTACCCTTAACCATCAGGTTATGCTGCCCTGGATGGAGGGCAGGGAGCCTGGGTCAAAGCCCAAACTCTGTGGCCTTCATTCATTGGACAAGTGTTTACTGAGTATTGACTATGTGTAGAGTATTCCTGGGCTCTGAGATGCATGGCTGGACCCAGGGCTGAATGCCACAGATCTTCGGCTGGACATTGAGCTAAGTGATGAATGTGGAGCAAGCACGTTGGCTATTTGTGGAAAGCGAATGAGGGCAGGTCTTTCCTCTCACCTGGGGCAACCTGAGGGAAGTATCCTGATTCTTGCTATAGAAATAGGAGCTAGTGTCCCTCTGTAGGGCAGGAGAAGGACTGGAATTGGGGCAGATCCCTACCCTTGTGTAGATTATGTTATAGTTGGGGAGACACAGACAATGACCACAAATAAATGAGACAATTAAGATGGTTATAAGGGACCTAAATAAAACAGGGTGATGGGATTGTTATAGGTTGAACTGTGTTCCCCCAAAAGTTACATGTTGAGGTCCTGTTCCCTAGAATGTGGCCTTATTTGGAGATAGGGTCTTTACTGAGGTAATCGAGTTAAAATGAGGGGACACACAGGCTGAGTCCTGAACATGGAGAAGACTGTCCTGGGAAGAGCTGTGGAAGATCCACACCCCAGAGATGGAAACGGACTTGGCATTTCTGCTGGAGAGATGGCAGGGCCAGGTGGCTGGGGCAGAGGGAGTGAGAGCAGAGAGTTTCAAGGTGAGGAGAGATGGAAGGCAGAGGCCAAAGGAGGGAAGGCCTCGTGGGACACGCTGGTATGTGGATTTCACAGTAATTGCAGTGGGAAGCCAGTAGGGGAAATGATGTGAGACCCGGCTTTCCCCTTCAAAAGATCCCCAGAGCCGCTTCGTGGAAAAGGCACTTGAGGGTCGGGTAGGTGGGGATCAGTTAGCAAATGAGGCTCATGTTCCACAGAGAAATGAGAGGGAGGAATGGTCTGCATGGTGATAACTCTGGAGAACCCCAACAGGACTTGTCAGTCCTGGGATGAGAGGAAAAGAGAGGCATCGAGGATGACCCCTGGGATTTGGGTCCAAGCAACTGAAGGAACAGCAGTGCTTTTTACAGTGGGTGAAGGAAGGGGGGCAGAGTAGGGGGCTCCTTGAAGAGGAAGACCGACAGCCAGCTTCCATCCAAGTAAGATTTATAAGATGAGGCCAAAAGGAAAATTAGCGACACATCTTCGCTCTGCTAGGACTTCTAGCTGGAGGGAGACAGACATGTAAGCAAATACTAGAAATACCACATGCGAAGTAGCTGGCTACACACAGCTGAGGGACTTACTCCGGGGAAGTTGGAGAAAAGATGAAAGGGTTTTTTTTTGTTTTTTCAAAATAATTTCAGACTTACATAAAGGTTGTAAAAACAGTACAAAGAATTCCCGAATAGCTTTCACCTAGTTTCCCCAAACGTTGACATCCTACAAGTTTACAGCGCCGTCCTCAAAGTGGGAATGAACATGAGCTCCAAACCTCGTTC